GAGAGGAGAGCAGGACAGGAGAGGAGAGGAGGAGAGGAGGAGAGGAGGAGAGGAGGAGAGGAGAGAGGGCAGCAGCAGTGGTATAGGGAGAAGGCAAGCTCTGAATCTTAATAAGCCAGAGACTTCCAGGAAGAAGGGAGAGGTGAAACGTCTGATATGGCTATGAAATATTAAGTTGAAGAGCTGTGTGTGATGAGCTATCAGGTACAAAATGGCCCCTGTGTCATCACCCAGGTGGGCGCTACAGATGGGTAGTGGGTGAAGTGAGTTGACCAAACCACCTTGCAAAGCTGAGTTTGATTACAGCCTACACTCTGTCCCAGGACTAATTGAGCCTGATGGAAAAATCATGTTTCCTCCCTCCCTCCCTATCTTTCTCTCTCTTTCTCTCTCTCATTTTCTCACCCTTGTTTTCCCTTTGTCTTTCTCTTCAGTCCTGCGGTTACCAACAGGAGCTAGGTTTGGAAGAGTCTTTCAGTTGTGCTGCTGTAGCAACCAAAATCTGAGAGACTTACCGTCTAGTAATGTCTTAAAACAAGGGTGGGGTTGATACATCCAGTTAACCGACGATAATGTTGCTATAAACTTCCCCCATCTCACCCCAGCTGGCTTAACGTAGTAAACACGGTAGTGGAAATTACAGACCATTTATCAAGAACATCTAAGACAAACTTTTTTTTTATGTATTGGAAGAAGTGTATATCACCAAGGTTACTAGGCGGTGGCGCTGGATTTTGCGGTGCACTCTTTAGGCAACACACCTAGGCAGAGACAATTAATATTTTCCAGTAACTGGATGGAGGGAGAAAGAGAGAGACAGAGAGAAAAAGGTGGTGAGATGAGAGAGAGAGAAACACACAGAGAGATCGAGAAAGAGAGAGAAAGCAAGAGAGAGAGAGAGAGCGAGGAACCTGCCTCTACTTTCCAGAGATAGAGATAAGGAGAAGGCGTTTAAGGAGAAACAGACGACGTGGAAGGGAACAAGCAGTTGTGATTACAGACGCTAATTAGAGGTCTGAACCCTGGTAAGGGACACATGGTCTACGTCTCAAATGGCACACTATACCCTAAATAGGCTAGTGGACTACTTTTGACCAGGGCCCATAGGGCTCTGATCAAAAGTAGTCCACTTTATAGGAAATAGGGTGCCATTTAGGACTCCACAAATGGTACTGAGGAGAAATTGGGAAAATGTGAACTGTGGGGAGGTTAGAGTTGATATCCTTCTAACGTGCCGTCTTTTTCTCTGTCTTTCTCTCTCTCTCTTTCATGTCCAAGTCCTGGCCACATCTTAGCCTTGCGGTTATCTGTGGATCACTGAAATTCAAAGACAGAAGGCATTCTACACATCATCGTCTTTAATGACTGAAAGAGAACCTTATGTCAGCTGTTCTGCTAAAACAATATAAACCTCACAGCCACACCAAGGTCTTTGAGCCCCCCCACCCCCCCCACCCCCCACCCCCCAGAGGTGCCAGGAACACGTTCTTTTTCTCAGACTGGACATAAATGGAGAGCTGGAGGCCAACGGAGGCTGGTTGGCAGGAGGAGAGGTGTGCGTATTGAATTTGGAAAGCCATAAATGGCAGTTTGAATACCACAGAGTGGGTGGTGTTTTAGAGAGGCAGACCCACTGGGCACAGACGTCAATTCAAAGTCTATTCCACGTTGGTTCAACGTCATTTCGTTGATTCAGCCAGTGTTTGCCCAGTGGGGATAAATCACTTGGAGGTCTTAGTTGGAAAAAAAACGCACAAACGCACGCACACACACTTCCGTATAGAGCCTTCTCAGCAGGACTTAAACGTAAATTGTACCCCAATCAGACGAGTGATTTGCTTCTAACTACACAGGAACCAGGGGTTTGGACCCAGAATACAAAACCAAACAACAAACAAAGTATTATTTCTATCCTCTCAGACTATTAGACTTTTATCCCAGCAGGAGGCTGTCTGAGAAGAGTCCAGACAGACAGAAACACAGTATGGAATATAAGCAATCCAAAAAAGTACTTTTACCAGTAGGTTATTGGTACTGAATGCTCAAAATATGTCTGTTGACATAAATACACCCCACGATACTAAGAGATATGTATCCCAAACTCCAATGGACTCCGGACATTGTTTGTGACAAAGGCTGTGTAACCTACCTGTTTTCAACATTATTTGACCTGCTCTTGCACGTCACGATGGCCACCTTGCAGTTTGGGTTACCAGCACCTGGAGGAACAGTCAGAAACGTTAAAACAATGTTAAAACAATAAACTCCTCCACCTCTCACTCTTAGAAAAAAGGGTTCCAAAAGGGTTATTCGACTGTCCCCATAATATAACCCCAATTAGTTCAAGGTAGAACCCTTTTTGGTTCCAGATAGAACCCTATTGGTTTCCATGTCAAACCCTCAGTGGAAAGGGTACTATATGGAACCCAAAAGGGTTCTACCTGGAACCAAAAATTGTCCCTTTTAAGGTTCTAGATAGTACCTTTTTGTTTGCTAAGAGTGTATAGGAGTGGCCCTAAACCAACATACATGGTTTATTCTCAGCTTGGGCTGTCTATCCTCTGGACATATTATTAACCAGGAAACAAACCTTTTCACACTCTCAGAATATACCCCATGATTATTTGAGTATGGTGGACTGGACACGCACGCTCGACGCACACACACACTTAGTGGCCCTTCTGCAGAGCGTGGATGGAGCTACTGACAGACAGATAGTGTAAAGATGTGTCCCAAATGGCATCCTATTCTCTATTTAGTGCACTGCCTTTAACCAGGGCTCTGGTCACAGGTAGTGCACTATATAGGGAAAAGGGTGCCATTTGGGATACATACAGCCTATAAGTAATCCCATCTTAAACCACATCAGTCCAATACATGCTATATTTGAAACTTTTCTGCTTCCCCTTTGATCCTTTGTCTTGTTTCTCTTCAGAACTACACAATCCACAATCTCTCAACTCTCTATGGTTTAGCTGGTGTGAGTGTGTTATTGATAGTGAAGATATGTTGAAGGCTTATTATGGCAGAGTAAATATCGCTTCACTGTAATATTATTACAGTGAATTCAATGGAAACACTGATAAGTCCCGTGTAGCTCAGTTGGTAGAGCATGGCGTTTGCAACGCCAGGGTTGTGGGTTCATTTCCCATGGGGGACCAGTATGAATTTATTTTATTTTTTAATGTATGCGCTCACTAACTGTAAGTTGCTCTGGATAAGAGCGTCTGCTAAATGACTAAAATGTAAATGTCTTGAAAAACAGCCACTAGAGGGCGATATCTATCCTTCCTCATACTGCGAATGATGAAATTAGTACAGGGTAGGGTGAAGTTGCCCCTAGACGCTGATCTTGGGTCAGTTTTTCATTTCCCCCACTAATGGTTAAGGTTAGGATTGGGGGAGGGGAAGCTGATCCTAGATCTGTACCTAGGGGAAAACTCAGCTCGGAGCTGATAAAATGAGTACAAACAAAATAGACGGTATTCTCAAGTATAATGCTGTGTAATGGTATATGTAACATTACTGTGTGGCCTTGACCTGGAAGACTCCAGACCGTAGGTACAGCCTATAACTAGGACCTGGTCAGGTCACGTGGTTAGGAAAACCTTGGGGCCAAAACAATATGGAAATGTCTCAGGAGAGGAGTGGGACGGGGGTCGACTCTGGAACGCAGAGGTCCAAGAGAGTCCCTAGGGCGAGGGGGGCGAGGGGAGGAGAGAAGCTGACCCAAAATGTATATTTAGGTGTGTATCGAATGGTGTGTGTTCCATAGGGAACTGAATATCTGGCTGAAAAAGTTAGCTATTCCCAACAGACAAGCGCATGACTCCATCAGTTTGAGAAACTTCAGCTTGAGAATATGCATGGATTGGGAAAAGTACACACACACACAAAACACACACAGCATAAAAATTCCCCTGTGCTAGACAGATACTTCGCAAGATTTTACACCTTTATGCCCACACTAAATTGTAACTATGTACATAAACAAACACACACATGTGCCTCCGCCCAATCGTGAGGTTTTCCTTGTGTCTAGGAAAGCCTGTTTGCCCAGGGGCAGCCTAGGGCTTTGTGATGTATGTGTGTGTGCATGCCTGTGTGTGTGTGACAAACTCTTATATAAGTGATTAATATGATCAAGGTTAGAGGAGAGCAGAGGGTGAGCCCCGATGGCATGTCCCAAACAAGTCCTTACATGCTCACACAGCACCCAGAATTAAAACAAACATCAACAGAACGTCACCAGGGAGAGGGAGGAGTGTTTCTCAAATAATCTTTGTAATGGGCAGAAAGCAATTAGCTAATCACAACACCTCAATAAACATAATCTGGTGGTCTTTAACAGCCGATCCAAAACAAATCCCAGAGGTTCAGTTAATACGACCAATATGTGGCATTCTAAGATGTTTGTTGTTTCTCTTTCCATCTCAGATTGTATACAGGCTCTGTCACAGCCGGCCGCGACCGGGAGACTCATGGGCGGCGCATATTTGGCCCAGCGTCGTCTAGGGTAGGGGAGGGAATGGCCGGCAGGGATGTAGCTCAGTTGATAGAGCATGGCGTTTCCAACGCCAGGGTTGTGGGTTCGATTCCCACGGGGGGCCAGTATAAAAAAAATATGTAATCACTAACTGTAAGTCGCTCTGGATAAGAGCGTCTGCTAAATGACTAAAATGTAAAAAATGTAATCCTGTGAAGAGAGGGGAGAACAGCCCACAGGTAATTAACTCTCCTGTCAATAATGGGCAATAAAGAGCCATTTTCTATCACAAAAAGAAAACATTAATATACGAAAGGCCTTCAAATGTAAATTGATAGTTGCAGTATAATTTATCAGCAATTATACCTCCAAAAATATTTAGCATGGTGTGTGTGTGTGACTGGAGACTGACACGTGCCAGTACTGAGGTCAAAATCCCTCTTCTCAATGATGGTGTATACACACGCACAACAGGAGAGACCACAGCACTTTTATACTGCTTTCTTATTGAAGACTGAATGGTAACACACACACACGGAGAGGTGTTCCCAGACTGTGTCGGGTCATTGTAGGGAAAAGAGGTGGAGTAATATAGTTAAAAATGGGCTGAGACAAACTAAGAGTAGCACCGTCCTTGTTTATAAATCGCCATACCACTGGATGTCTCCTCTGTTTCAACATCTCTACATCTCCCACATCCACAGGAAGACACCAAGGGTAAGACTCAATCAGCTCCTTCACTGACAGTTTCATTGTCAAAATTTCAAGTTGAAATTAAACATTTAAAGTTGAATTACTTGAAAGTTGTTTAAAGTATTTATAGCCTATGTGAGGATAAACATAATGCTACTTCTGTTTCCTTGTTTTCTTGTTTCCTCAGTTGCCTAGCTTTTACTGTTTAGGATTGTAGTGAGGGGAGTGACATTTATAGAGAGACTATGACTCATGCGTTCAGAAGTTCAATTGTCAGTGATTGTAAGGACTTTTAAAGTTCAAAGTCCTGTGTGTTTACGATTTAGCCTAACCTGATAATTATGCTGAAGTAATAATGATTAACATACTGTATATACTACATGTAGTGACAAGACATAATGCACATTGCACATAATGTCAGTACAATTTTTTCAGCTCTCCAGACATTTTATCTCTGTCTCATATCTTCTCTGAAATGTTGGCATATTCAGTCTGGCAGAATATATGCGCTAACAAATTCGTTTTTGATGGTTTTCTCATCATTTATTTCTCAGGGCTCAATATCTCGTAGTTAACAAGAGATGGAATATGAATATGTGTTTTTGGCCATAAATCTCTGACAGAGATCTCACCCAGTAGAACAGCTGTGAAACTTCAGCTGAATTTTTGAGATATTGGAGATATTTGGACATGAGACAAGATGTTCTGTAGGAACACTGACAGCTCCTCATCTCTAGCTCTCGCTAGCAGCATGTTGATGGAAAACGTCACAGACCTGGAAGCTATCCTAAATACCTACAGTATGTTATTGAACTGAGGCAGTAAAGAAAGAGAAGCCTCACCTGTAGTAATTATCTGTAGAATGTTAAAGCGGACATCAATAGCAAACACGTCTGATACTGTATTTAGCCAAATACCGCACGGTTAAAACACACGTACGCACACCTGAACGCACACACCTTCTCATAGAAAACGATGGGCTTTCGCCCAGTTCACAGAGAATCATTCACACATCCACACAAGTGAGGATAATCTGAAGTGATACATTTACTTCACATTGAACCCAAACAGAGCTTCTGGTATTTCCAGGCAGAGTCAGCACAATGAGTCAGTCTGAATAGGGAACGGCAGGGTCTTGATGGAGTTGTCTCTCTGGGCACGTCCTCACACACTGTGATAACACACAAACGCACACACATACACACATACACACTGGTGTATGGATCTGATCTTCAGAGATCTACTGTCACGCGATCTATATCTGCAGTAGGGGAATGCAAACACCTTGATAAATCTCTCTCTGGCTTCTACTAGAACAATACTAAACATCTGGCCCATCCACACTTTCAGACTGATAAGTACTGAGTTTACACACTGCTTCAAAGATAGAATAGATTTTACGAGACAAGCTATCTCAAGACTAAACAGATATGACTGTACAGAACATTGTGGGGCAGTCTCCCAGACACAGATTAGGCCTAGTCCTCAAGTAAAACAGAAAAGGTTGATGGAGAATCTCCATTGAACGTGCTTTTAAGTCTGGGACTAGGCTTAATCTGTGTCTGGGAAACTGCCCAGAGTGTTTAAAGAAAGATTAGTCCGATTTTTCAGGGATAGTCATATTAGCGAACTTATTTCATTTCAAACTTCATATTTCTCTAGTATAGGCTACTTATCGTAATGAACGATATCAGCAAAATGCCTGTGATAAGTGATTGGTATGGTCGGTGTCGTTAATTTTCGGTTATCGCTTCAGCTCTAGTTCACACGCACGTAAAGGTACACATATACGCACGCACACACTCCTCACACACACAACATCCAAAGAACCCCTACGGGTCAGAAAGAGGGAGAGCAGTGAGAGGGGTGAAGGATAACAGGAACAGATAGTTGTTGACAACTTGGATCGTCATTCTGTTATTGGCTGTAAGTGCATTACAACTTTCAGATGGATGGCCATTCTCTAGTTCCCTCCTAATAGATGTGTTCAGATAAAATACATACTTCATATTATTTGATACATTCTGTCCAAATTATGTGAAAGAGAATAATAATTCTATCCAGCAAGTCTTGTCTATAACAGATGAAAAAGTGATATTGTCAACGGATCTCTTTTAAGTTAATAAAGGGGAATATATATATTTTAAAAGGATATGTATATATATATATATATATATATATATATATATATATATATATATGTATGTATGTGTATGTATGTGTATGTATGTATATATATATATATATATATATATATATATATATATATATATACACACAGTTGAAGTCGGAGGTTTCATACACCTTAGCCAAATACATTTAAACTCGGTTTTTCCCAATTGCTGACATTTAATCCTATTAAATATTCCCTGTCTTAGGTCAGTTAGGATCACCACTTTATTTTAAGAATGTGAAATGTCAGAATAATAGTAGAGAGAATGATTTATTTCAGCTTTTATTTCTGTCATCACATTCCCAGTGGGTCAGAAGTTTACATACACTGAATGAGTATTTGGTAGCATTGCCTTTAAATTGTTTAACTTGGCTCAAACGTTTCGGGTAGCCTTCCACAAGCTTCCCACAATAAGTTGGGTGATTTTGGCCCATTCCTCCTGACAGAGCTGGTGTATCTGAGTCAGGTTTGTAGGCCTTCTTGCTCGCACACGCTTTTTCAGTTCTGCCCACACATTTTCTATACGATTGAGGTCAGGGCTTTGTGATGGCCACTCCAATACCTTGACTTTGTTGTCCTTAAGCCATTTTGCCACAACTTTGGAAGTATGCTTGGGGTCATTATCCATTTGGAAGACCCATTTGCGACCAAGCTTTAACTTCCTGACTGATGTCTTGAGATGTTGCTTCAATATATCCATGTAATTTTCCTTCCTCATGATGCCATCTATTTTGTGAAGTGCACCAGGCCCTCCTGCAGCAAAGCACCCCACAGCATGATGCTACCACCCCGTGCTTCACAGTTGGGATGGTGTTCTTCAGCTTGCAAGCTCCCCCTTTTTCCTCCAAACATAACGATGGTCATTATGGCCAAACAGTTCTATTTTTGTTTCATCAGACCAGAGGACATTTCTCCAAAAAGTATGATCTTTGTCCCCATGTGCAGTTGCAAACCGTAGTCTGGCTTTTTTATGGCGGTTTAGGGGCAGTGGCTTCTTCCTTGCTGAGCGGCCTTTCAGGTTATGTCGATATAGGACTCGTTTTACTGTGGATATAGATACTTTTGTACCTGTTTCCTCCAGCATCTTCACAAGGTCCTTTGCTGTTGTTCTGGGATTGCACTTTTCGCACCAAAGTACATTCATCTCTAGGAGACAGAACAGGTCTCCTTCCTGAGCTGTATGACGGCTGCGTGGTCCCATGGTGTTTATACTTAGGTACTGTTGTTTGTACAAATGAACGTGGTACCTTCAGGCGTTTGGAAATTGCTCCCAAGGATGAACCAGACTTGTGGAGGTCTACAATTTTTGTGATGTCAAGCAAAGAGGCACTGAGTTTGAAGGTAGGCCTTGAAATACATCCACAGGTACACCTCCAATTGACTCAAATGATGTCAATTAGCCTATCAGAAGCTTCTAAAGCCATGACGTCATTTTCTGGAATTTTCCAAGCTGTTTAAAGGCACAGTCAACTTAGTGTATGTAAACTTCTGACCCACTGGAATTGTGATACAATAAATTATAAGTGAAATAATCTGTCTGTAAACAATTGTTGGAAAAATTACTTGTGTCATGCATAAAGTAGACCGACTTTCCAAAAGTATAGTTTCTTAACAAGAAATTTGTGGAGTGGTTGAAAAACAAGTTTTAATGACTCTAACCTAAGTGTATGTAAACTTCCGACTTCAACTGTATATATATTTGCGGGAAAAAACCATGGGGGATTGGAAGTGATGCAGACAATTACATTGATGGAAGTTACAATCTATCTGCAATATTAAAGCTGATCTACCACCTAAAAAAATTACAAAAAATTAAAAAAACAATGCAGCAGCATAGACTAAACTGACTTGACATCATTCCTAACATACCATGTTCCTTTATTCCCTTATTTCTCAGAGAACAGAGAACAGAGAGGATGGATGAAGAGGACTACGACTACGACTTTGGGAACTCCAGCTCCAACGACAGTGACTACTACGATGACTACCACTCGGTGTGCAACAAAGCCGAGGTGCGTTCCTTCGGCAGTCTCTTCCTACCCGTGGTCTATGCCTTGGTCCTGGTGGTGGGCGTGGCAGGCAACGCCCTAGTCGTGGTGGTGTACGCGTCGCCGCGGCGACTGCGGACGCTGACGGACGTGTGCATCCTGAATCTCGCTTTGGCTGATTTAGTCCTCCTCTTCACGCTGCCCTTCTGGGCGGCCGACGCCGTGCACGGCTGGCGGATCGGCGTGGCCGCCTGCAAGCTCACCTCCTTCCTCTACACCACCAACTTCAGCTGCGGCATGCTGCTGCTAGCCTGTGTTAGCGTGGACCGCTATCGGGCGCTGGCACACAATGCTGGAGGCCGGGCTGGGAGTGGCCCGTGGGCCAGGAGACAATGGATATTAGTGTGTGCCGTTGTGTGGACCACAGCTGTTTGCCTGGGCCTGCCTGACATGGTGTTCTCCACGGTGAAGCACACATCCCACCGGCTGGCCTGCACAGCCGTCTACCCCCACAGCATGGCCCGACCGGCCAAGGCTGCCTTGGAGCTGCTGGAGGTGCTGCTGAGCTTCCTGCTGCCTTTCCTGGTAATGGTGATGTGTTATTGCTGGGTGGGCCGGGCGCTGGTTAGGGTCGGAGCCGGGGTGCGCAGGGAGAGGAGGTGGCGGGCCCTGCGGGTTCTGCTGGCCGTGGTGGGGGTGTTCCTGTTCACCCAGCTGCCCTACAACCTGGTGAAGCTGTGGCGGACGCTGGACGTCATCTACGGCCTGGTGACCGACTGTGACCTCAGTAAAGGTCTGGACCGGGCTCTCCAGGTGACGGAGAGCCTAGCGCTCACACACTGCTGCATCAACCCAATGCTCTACACCTTCATAGGCTCCTCCTTCAGAGGACACATCCTCAGGGTTGCCAAGAGCCTTGGACAGTGCCTCGGGAGGAGAATGCGCGGTGGTCGCCATGGCAACGAGGAGCCGGCAGTGGAGATCTCGCTCAATACACACACTTCCGCCGGGCACACACACTCACACTCTGTCTCGGAGGACGAAGACACTAGCACCTTCACCATCTAACATTTCTAAAAACTCTTATTATGGATTATGGTGACCAAAAAGGGCTAATGCACAAACACTTCTACTGGATTTTCAAGGGGCAATCTGGGATTCAAACAGCAACAAAGCTGTCAAACAAGCTTATATTTAGGGTTCTGATTGGGTATGACAGTTGAATTAAGCTCATGAGGCATTTATAAGTTATATTCTTCATGAATAATTGGCTGTCATCAATTTTCAAGGTCCAAAAATGAATATGTACTAATCACAGATCGCCCCTTAAGCAGTTGCTCTATACCAGCATTACTAGAAGCCTGTGCTATACATAAATAACTGTTAAGTAACTTGACATCTAGATGAATGTTTGTATTAGTATAGTTTAATAATATATTATGCAGTATCTTGTCAATTTTTAGTATAGCGTAAGCTTATGTAAATAAAACACGTTTTATTTTCTGTATGACAACCATCTGAAATAAATCTCAAAATGAGAAGGAATGGCTCTCTCAAGCTCATGTTATTACAACTCTCATCATATCCTATTCAATCTCACACAGCACATGGCGCCTACAGATCAGAAGCATCAGATCAGAAGCATCTGATTCCAATGTTTTCTGTGGCTTTGAGAGAAAAGAAAGCAGGCAGTCTGATTGAGCAGCGAGTTGCCAGAGAGAAAAGCCGGAGAGCTCCACAAAACAAAGAGCGAGAAGTCGACAGGGAGAGAAGAGAGAGGGCTTCCATCCGGCCATCACACAGGCAGGAAGACACTACACAACCAGCGGGGATCTTTTTTGGACTACGTCCCAAATGGCACCCTATTCCCTACATAGTGCACAACTTTTGACCAGAGCCCTATGGGCCCTGTTCAAAAGCAGTGCACTATATAGTGAATAGGGTGCCATTTGGGACGCATCCCCATGAAGGGGATTCCAGCATTTAAATTACCCTGCCTGTCCTCTCATGTTCCTTCCGTTTAAATAATCTGGACTTAAAAGTGCAACAGGGGTTTGTTGTTGAGTGCAATGCATAGAACAGTGGTGAACCATTTCAGTGTGGCCATTTATCCTCTTCCTTAAAACTCGTCTTCAAAGAGGACTTTTATCTTAAACTCTTTGAAATCGATCGTACACATCATATCGCATTTAACTCCTTTGACAAAATGGCGAATATAAAACTAAATTAAACTAGCTAAATGTATACCATGAATAACAAATTGGGCCCCCAAAGCATAGTGAGATGCATTTTGTGGTGTGGAGAGTTAAACAGTGTCTCAATGAAAAGCTTTTCCCACAGGAATGAGTCACGCAGGGGATCGTCTTAAAGTGGAAAAGAATCCACAGAACTAGAGCCATCATAGACAGGCCCTAGATCATAAAAATGCTAGCTAATGTCCTCAGTGTTTACCTCCTATTCTTTTACAGGACCTGTTAGTCATATCCTCTCCTCTGTAATGACTGGGCCTGTGCCCCAGATGGCACCTTATTCCCTATATAGTGCACTACTTTTAACTAGGGCCCTGGTCAAAAGTAGTGCACTATATAAGGAATATGGTGCCATTTGGGAAGCACTGGGATGTTTAGATATTGGGATTGGTGGGTAAACAAATCAGTTAAGTGTGTGGTTGGTTATGGAGGGATACACTCAGGACAAGAGAGTAATCACAGTCTCTTCACTCAGCAATACCCTCAACTCCTCCACTGTCTCCCAAATCACTGAGAATGACTGATTGGGTGCTAAGGGGAATGGGAAGTGAATGGTGCATTAGTGTAAACAGCTTCAGACTTAAAATGTGAGGCACAAGACTCGGCTATACATGAGGGACTTAAACCTGAAAGCAGGCTAGAGACTAGATTATTGTATTTGTCCTCTTGCTCAGTTGTGCACTGGGGCCTCCCACTCCTCTTTCTATTCTGGTTAGAGCCAGTTTGCGCTGTTCTGTGAAGGGAGTAGTACACAGCGTTGTACGAAATCTTCAGTTTCTTGGTAATTTCTCGCATGGAATAGCCTTAATTTCTCAGAACAAGTATAGACTGACGAGTTTCAGAATAAAGTTATTTGTTTCTGGCCATTTTGAGCCTGTAATCGAACCCACAATTGCTGATGCTCCAGATACTCAACCAGTCTCAAGAAGGCCAGTTTTATTGCTTCTTTAATCAGCACAACAGTTTTCAGCTGTGCTAACATAATTGCAAAAGGGTTTTCTAATGATCAATTAGCCTTTTAAAATGATAAACTTGGATTACACCTATGTAGATATTCCATAAAAAATCAGACGTTTCCAGCTACAATAGCCATTTACAACATTAACAATGTCTACACTGTATTTCTGATCAATTTGATGTTATTTTAATGGACACATTTTTTTTCCTAAGTGACCCCAAACTTTTCTCTTTCTCATCCATCTCTTCATCCTTCGTTGTTCTACTTTCTCCCACTCTCTTTATCTGTCGTTACTGCTTTCTACTTTGCTATCTACTGTAATTTTTCTACTCTATCCATCTTATGGAGAGGCCTAAAAGTATAATACAAGCCAGGATAAAAATACAATAGTTAAGATATAAAGCAAAACATCAGGCTGTTGAGTGGCATTAAAGTATCCTTTTCTAAGCAGAGCTTCCAAATGGCAAAGAGCTTAACCAATTCCATTTTGTCTGCTACTGAGCCAGAGGAAAACGACCAACAGCCATTCAGCACCACGTAGTCAGCATTCATAATATCACTTCATATGACCCATGTTTCAATGAACACAGTTCAGCATGGATTTGATTACGTGTCCAGGCTTACATGGAGTAGGGAGCCCAGACAGTGTACATCTCAGATAAAGTCTGCTCCTAAGGTCATCCAGATAGAGAATTGTGATAATAGAAAATGTGTGTGTGTGTGTGTGTGTGTGTGTGTGTGTGTGTGTGTGTGTGTGTGTGTGTGTGTGTGTGTGTATGTGTGTGTGTGGTCACTATAGCCTCCAGATACGAGGCTCACCATGGGTCTGGGAGTCATTCGAGTACATTACCACATGGCTAAAAGCTCCATCGCCACACATACACACACAAAAAAACACTGCTTGGGCTGTGCATATAAGTAGGAGAAATATAAATGCAGGGATTATCTGTAAATGGTAGGCCTATATCCGGACATTATTATGATGCAAATTGAATCTTGAATCATGTTACAGGAAGAAGTGGTCACACACTGCATATGCTCGTAATAATTGAATGGGTCAAAAAAAAAGTTACTATTCCATTAGTCAGCACCTCTCCCATTATTTTGGCTACCATGACTAGAAGAAGAGATCTCAGTGACTTTGAAAGAGGGGTCTCAAAGGAGCATAGGGGGTTTAAAGTGTGTGTGTGTGTGTGTGTGTGTGTGTGTGTGTGTGTGTGTGTGTGTGTGTCTCAGTCACCAGATCTCAACCCAATTGAATACTTATGGGAGATTCTGGAATGGCGCCTGAGACAGCGTTTTCCACCACCATCAACAAAACACCAAATGATGGAATTTCTTGTGGAAGATTGGTGTCGGATCCCTCCAATAGAGTTCCAGACACTTGTAGAATCTGCAGTATTCACACCCCTTGACTTTTTTCCCACATTTAGTTGTGTTACAAATTGGGATTAAAATTGATTTAATTGTCTTTTTTTCTCTCAACAATTTACACAAAGTAATGTTTAAAGATTAATGAAAAATAAAACACTAATATATCTTGTTTTGATAAGTATTCAACCCCCTTTTAGGTTATTTTGTCCTGCTGAATGGTGAATTTGGCTCCCAGTGTCTGTTGGAAAACAGAATGAACCAAGTTTTTTTATCCAAAAAAAAGAACTCTTTAGTCCTTGCTGATGACGAGCATACCCATAACATGATGCAGCCACTACCATGCTTGAAAATACAGTGCATTCGGAAAGTATTCAGACCCCTTCCCTTTTTCCACATTTTGTTACGTTACAGTCTTATTCTAAAATGGATTAAATAAAAACAAATCCTCATCAATCTACACGCAATACCCCATAATGACAAAGCAAAACCAGGGTTGTGGGTTCGATTCCCACAGGGGGCCAGTATGAAAAAAAAAATATATATATATATATATAATGTATGCAGTCACTAACTGTAAGTCGCTCTGGATAAGAGCGTCTGCTAAATGACTAAAATGTTGTTAAGTAGATTTTTACTCCTGAACGTATTTAGGCTTGCCATAACAAAGGGGTTGATTACTTATTGACTCAAGAGCAGTGGCGGATGTTTAAGATGAGGGAGGACTTATTTCTATTACAGCACAATGGATGACTGTCATTCATATTCCATTCACCTAGCTCAACGTAACATCGATAGGTTTAGGCTACTACATGATACTCACATTTTCCCTATACCCATTATGAGGTTGCTACAACCTAGCCTATGAATGAAAGTTTACAAAGTAGGTGCACAGGTCGAGAGTAAAATTTCAGTAATAAAGGTGACAGATAGTGACACATTCAATACTGCCTTACACACTCTTGTCTAAATCTAGCTGATCTAGGGTGTAATCATTAGACCAACAGTTGCGAGAGTTTCTATTGGACAAATTCCGTTTAAGAAACCTTTTTTCAACAGAATCGGCGGAATGAATACACCCCTGATTACACGCAAACACAGCAAACTTTCGTAGCAGCCACATACAAATAGCATGAACATTTTGCTCATTGTATAATTCCTTCTCGCATCTACGCGCTCTCCTCCTCTCACCTTTCCCCTTCACTTGTGGACTTCAGTTTCTTAAACGGAAGCAAAAGGAACGAAATGGGGATAAGCATACCTGAATTTGTCCAATAGAAACTCTCGTTTGCATATTAGCTAACATAATAGTCAACAGAGCTACTATAACTAACGCATTAGTAAACCCGCTTCAATCATGCAGTACAGTGTACATTCAGCAAGCAGTTTAGCAGTTACACCGGCGGGCCACGGTGGCAATAAATTAATAAAACCAAAAGCTTACCTTGGAAGAGTTCCAGTGTCGGATAGCCACAGCCAGCTAGCTAACATAGCATCCCTCTCTGCTTGAGCCGGGTGTTTGAGTAGGCTAAACTAGCTAGCTGTATTTGCTAGCTAAGTGAAAGTGAAAAAAAAAACTAAATATAGCTATTTCTCTCTCTCTCCCCCATGCTTCTTCATTTTTAAAGATATTCATTTTGTTCAAAAGTGTTCAACTATTGTCTTTCTCT